TTGTATAGATTACTATGGATTATTGAAATTTTTTAAACCAAACTTTTTATACAGAATTTTTTCGCTTGATCCATTCTCGAGTAAAATTGAAGCAAAAAGTGAAAACTATGTTTCAGAAGATTTTTTTTGCTCCGATGTTTGACCTGAAAACAAACTGTAACAATAACTAAACGCGAAACTCATAATTACCAGTATATTGTTACCAATTGAATCGCTCATTATTTTTTCTTTCTGATTTATTTTTAAAAATTGAATTAAAAATTGTTGATCTTAAATATAGCGTTCGAAAAATATTCAAAAACAACTTTTTATCTCCGCGTGAGCAATTAGATTGCAATATCCTAAAGAGAAACCCTCTGAAGTTAACGGCTTGCGGTAAACAGGGTGGGTGACTTTGTTTTATGTTGTTAGAAACAAATAAAAACAAGACTGCTCGTATCAGGGCGAAGCCCTGAATGTTCCGACTGCCTTTTAAGGTTTATGGGGCAGTAATAGCATAAAAAATAAATGTAATAAAATAAAAATGAAAAAAAAAATTCTAAAATTTGAAACTTTTTTTATGAAATCATCACCCCACACGCCATATAAAGTACAAAAGAATAGATTTCGCTCCTTGTAACTAACTAATTATGGCAAATAAGTTTCGTTCAACCAATTGGGAGCGATTTCTAAGACGGATTAAACCTCCGCTTACGCGTTAATAGCGCGAATTATATCGCGCGTTAATTGTCCAAAATTGGCAAAATGGCAATCTTTAAACTCCCATAACTTTACGAAAAATGATCACAGGTGAAATACCTTTTCAATTTTAAGCTCAGGACAACAATACTTTTTGAATGACAAAAAAAAATTCTGTCAAAAATGGCTAGTTAAAAGTCAAATTTTGTCTGAAGAAAAAAAAACCCACCCCGAGCACAAATATTCCGTTACTTTCGTATCGAAAGTCGGAACAAAAAAAAACAGTTTAAAAACAGAGAATTAAAGAATAAAAGCATGCTTAAAACAAATGAGGAATATAAAGAAAATTTTCCAGCTTTGCGAAAAGTTTGTCACAGTTCGTACTTCCCATTTGCTCTAGCGTTGAGCTACGGGTCCGTGGGAAACCATCTGCATGTTCAAAATGCAGGAAAAATGATTTTTTACATAAAAATTTTAATTGTTGAGTTGATTATTTAACGGTAGCTTTGTTTTCATGTTTTGCTCAAATATTTTTAAAGAAAAAAAACAAAAAAAGAGTCATTTTGCAATAAAAAAAAAACATATATAACGTGTTTTTATTGTATAATTGGATTTTTTAAAAAAGTTTCGAAACTCTGCCCTGACGGCATGGAGTTTTTCTTAAATGACTATTTTTGAAGCAAAAATGATATTAAAACATTGAAAGTTGTGTAAGGCTACAACTTTGATTTGTTTACGAGTCCGAAAAGAGCTTAAGCCAGTTTTGGTGAAGCTTATTTGCATTTTAATTGCAAGCAAATTCCATCCAACTCGAAACAAGACTGTTCGTATCAGGGTAAATCCCTGACTGCTCGATTATCCCTTAACTGGTGTCGAACAGTTTTGGATAAATGAAATATTGATAAATTTTTATTTTTAGGCTGAATTTTAAGAATAGTGTAAGGACTTTATAAGACCAATTAGCCTGCTTAAATTGACTTTGGAATGTTTTGTGGAGCGGGATGATTCACCACGCGTATATAATGCGCGTTAAATTTTCAGCATCATAGTGTAACAGCCTTCTAAATAGTCACGTTAGTCTATTATTGAGCGTTTCACAGCAGTCTTGAAATCAGTATAGTCTAGTGATGTGCGCCTCTTCTAGGGCTACAAAAATACATGGATTGGACCCCCGCGGCAACTATTTTGGAGATTTCGTCTCAATAAAAAAATACGCCCCAAGCATATATATTTCTTACTTTCTTCGAAAGTCGGAACACAAAAATGAAATTTTAGGCACTCAAATTAATCCTAAAATTTTCAGATCAATGGATTTAAACCGATTCAAAATCCATTTTAGATTCAAACGTACAGTTTTAACTAGTTTTGTTCAATTTGAAAAAATTTCTAATTTGATTCATCCAATCCAAAAGATCCAAAGAACCGATCCCAGTGTTTGTCAGTGCATGCAAAATTTTACCGCAAAAACGGACAATTTTTCCTCTTTTTAGTTTATGCTAAAGAGTCAATTGCTGAGAAAGTTGAATATGCTAAAAAGAAACAAAAGCGCTACAAACTTTTGAGCTGACTACTATTTAAGTTAGAAGGTACCAAACTAGTATTTAGGCTTCAAGGTCCATTTGACCTCACTAATGGAGGCATCACGATACTTTGAAGTTTAAACAACTGTAGTTGATTTTTGTTGAGGCTACACAGACTAGTCTGACTGCGGCTATTATTTTCAAAAACTCAACAAAGAAACAAAAAAATTTGTTAAAAGTTAAATTGTAGTATCTTGTCAAAGACATATATACATTTTAATCTCGCCATTTTGTTGAATAGCAGGAACACATATATATCTAGGCTCCGAGTTATATAATTTTTCTACTGTTTATGATAAAAGCACAACAAATATTTAACAGGACTGCTCATATCAGGGCAAAGCACTGAATGTTCCGACTGCCTTTTAAGATTTATGGAGCAGTATTAACATAAAAAACTTTAAATTAATAAAAGTAATAAAAAAAGTGAAATTTGTTTTTAAATTGAAATTTTTTCTGTGAAAATGATTCCTCCACACGCCATATTAACTACAAAAGATTAGATTTCGCTCCTTGTAACAAATCATTTAGAGCAATTAGGCTTCTTTCAACCAATTTCGAACTATTTCTATGACGGATTAAATCTGCGACTACGCGTTAATAGCGTGAAATAATTGTCCAAAATTGGCCAAAACGGCAATCTTCAAACCCATAATTTTACGATAAATGATTACAGGTGAAATATCTTTTCAAACTTAAGCTCAGGACAACAATACTTTTCGAATGATATAAAAAAGTTTTGTCAAAAATGGCAAGTTAAAGAGTCGAAATTTGTGTGAAGAAAAAAATCCACCCCGAGCACAAATATTCGGTTACTTTCGTATCGAAAGTCAGAACAAAAACAAAAACAGAACAAATAAAAAAAAATGCTAAAACATTTCTGAGGTAGTAAAACAAATAGTAAAATAAGTACTATAAAAACGCAAGACTTAGCATCATTCTCAAACACAAAACATTCAGAGCTGTTGTTCTGACACCGATTTAACTTTTTCCTTTTTTTCGGAATCGAACAAGAGTTTAAAGTGATCTCACAGTTGGCTGAAAAAAAATCAAGGTCCAAAATACTTTTCTATTCATAAATGCCGGGAGAAATTATCACTCCAATGGTTTACTTATAAAATGCTGTTTTTTTAAAATTTTTTTCCTCGATAGTTTTGATTGCGGGATTTTCATTTTTTTGCTTCCTGCATTTAATTGTGCAAAAGTTTTGATCCGAATGCGTGTTTACATCGCCAAAGCATGTGTTGCACCCAAACGCCGGATGACATCAACTCCCTAATTATATTGAACAAAAACTTTTTACCCGGTGATTTGACCTGATAATCTCTAGCCATCTGTTTCAAATGATGCAAACGAGGAATTACGACTGTTTGTTTTTCTACAATCAAGAAGGAATTTACTTCCAAACATTTCAGGCGGTTTGAAGCCAATAGCATATCAAGTAATTGTCGTAGACAATCAGCTAATACTACGTGAGGCTAAGTTTTAACCCCTCCCCAAAAAAAAAGTATTCAGTAAGAATAGTATTCAACATTACTGGCTTTCCACTAACTTATGAGGGTTTTTAAAGATAAATGTGAAGTGCAAGCTGTAACTGATTATTTTTGTTCAATTCAAAATTTTTGGTTTGAACTTGAATGGGATATAATAGTTATGCGTGAGGCGAAAATTCGTAACAGGCAACCATTCGTAACAGGCGACCATTCGTAGCAGTAGATTAAAAGGGAAAAACTGATTCGCGCGCAGTATTCTTCTCGTGTCGGATCTAAGCGCAGCAGAGCGAAGCGGAGGAAGCGTATTCTACTCGTGAAGCAACAATTCGTAACAAGCGACAATTCGTAAAAGGCAACAATTCGTAACAGGCGACAATTCGTAACAATAATTTAAGCGGCAAGCACTAATATATGCGCACCATTCCTCACGTGTCGGATGTAAGCGCAGCGGAGCAAGCGTATTCTACTTGCCAATGCCTTGTTACGAATTGTCGCTTGTTACGAATTGTCGCATGTAACGAATTGTCGCTTGTTACGAATTGTCGCCAGTTACGAATTGTCACACTACCTATTCTACTTGCCAATGCTTTTTACGAATTGTCGCTTGTTACGAATTGTCGCATGTAACGAATTGTCGCTTGTTACGAGTTGTCACCCCAACCATATTTATCAAGTATTAATATATTTCAGATAATCTACAAAACCCCTTTCTTCAGGCTAACTCGTACAACGCTAAGTACGAACCAGTTCAGGCAATGAACCAATCACGATTGCGTTTTGATGGCATGGAATCACTCATGGGAACGAGGAAAAGAAATGCCTACTTGTGGAAAATAAGGAGAAACAAAAACAAGTCAGGGAGATTTGGCCCCCGATCTTTAGCATCCGCATTGCTCAAAGGTTTTTAGACCAGAGAAACACATAGAAATAAATTCAATTAATCAATTCAGAGAAATGCTTGAATCCATGAAAAAACTATCAGATAATAAAGTATTTCGATTACTTGTTTTTCTTTCCTATGACTAAGTTGATAAAAAATGAATTGTGAGATATTCGGTTTAATAGACAGCCTTTTCATCCAAGATTAAAACAAAAGCCCTCAAAACACGTTTGATAGATAACTCATCTTTGTAAATTCAGGTACAGTTTCTTATACAATGACCATAACCAGGGTTGGTTACAACGATCATTGCCATGACTCCCCAATATGGAAGTGAAAGTATGAACTAATTGAGTAACTGTGACTCACCGTCGCTTCCGTCGTCTGCGTCCTCGAAGTTGAGTTGCACCACAGAAGTGCCAGTGGCAGTCTCCTCCCCCACACTGATGGGGCTGGTGGGAGTCAGAGCCCCTCCCCCTTGTGCATTGGGCGCGAACTCATTTACACCTGCATGTATTTACATGGGTTTAAGGTCAAAACAGACCATCAGACTTTTGTACAAGTTTGAGTCTCCGAAAGAACGGCAGTCCTCTTAAACAAAAGTCTCTTTTACAAAACAGGCGAAAAAAATTAAAATAAAGAATTTAAAGGCAAAAGTGGCAAGCAAAAACCAGTTACATTTTTTTCGAACCATTTCCAATTATTGTTTGCAATCACATCAAAAACGTGCCAATAATTTTTAAAAAAAGGAAGAAATGAGGGCAACTCAGTCGCTTATTAGGGCGGGATGAAGGGATGAGAGTCGTAGTTGGTCAAGACTCAAAACGTTTTTCCGGCGCTGACCTGTTACTTGTATGTCGATGGAAATTGTGAAATCTGTGGATGTTCCATCGGATATGGTAGCCACTGTGGAGTAGGAGGTGGTGGTCTCGAAGTCCAGCACTCCGGCTGTGGCCACATATAGTTGCCCAGTGGTGGCGTCCATGGCGAAGGGGGCAATAGCAGGCGAGATGGAGTAGGTGAGGGTGTTGAAAGCCAGAGAGGCGTCTCCATCTGAAAAAGATGCGTGAATGATCATATTGAATGTTCCGTAAGTAAGTCTTTTTATGTAGACAAATGCTCTGTAATTTTTGGTCTAGGCGACTTCACAGACTTCGAAAGAAGATGAATGCATAAGAGCAAGGCCTAACAAAGGATCAATTAGAAACTTAACTTTTCAGATTTATAACTGATATTTGGTGACTGGAACTTGAATCTTTAGCTTTTGATTAAAAGGTTCTGATTCTGCAGAGAGGTGTGATATCCTTATAAATGCCTTTGATTGTGACTCACCAGTGCAGATGTCCTTGAGAGTGGCGAGGGTGGTCATTTGGGGTGCATTCTCCGTCACAGTGAATCCCAGACCGGAGGAAGTACAGAGGGGGTCATTGTCCTCTATGTCTAGGATGGATATGGCCAAAGTGGAGGTAATGCAGTTCTCAGAGGCTGACCCCGAACCCCCTTCGTCGCATGCAGACACTATCAGCTCACTACTCGACACTGCAAAAATAGAAGTTACCAATATTCAATACAATAGTCATAAGTTGACAGAATGTTCTTCGATCAAAAATGTCATCTTGAAGCCTGAGCTAGTACCTATATATCATAAAAACCTGTATGCAATATATATTTTCGTCCAGATTTCAACCTAGAATTCGTCCAATTTTTGTTGGCTTGAGTGTTTAGGGCAACAAACTTTTTAGGCACGAACAGAACAGAACAGTATTTAACTTGGATTATTCAACAAACTCATCACTCAAAACCGCCAGTTTGTTTGTATATTTGTTCTTTGCTCGGAACTTCGCAACTGTTAATGCTTGTAGTCATAACCTGTTTCCCTGTCCAGTTGTTTGAGCACTTTCACCTCCCCAGAGTACCTGTCCAAACCGAAGAGTGAATTACTTCCACCTGGCATGGACACCTGGCTGGTGATAGTGTACACAATGTCCCCATGGCCAGCACAAGTGTCATTGTCAGTGGCCAACACAGTCCCAACCACATTCCCAATCCCAGTTCCTAATAAGCACAGTGGATGGCAATGAGTCCTTAAATATATTATACTGACAACAAACTAAAACCTGGTAAAAACTCAATTGCAGATCAGCTTTTAATACTAAATCTTGACTGGTGCAAGAGGGCTTCTTGGTGACTTATTCGTTCGAATTATAATACAGGAACCATCAAGGGAGGGCAATCAAAAAAAGAATTTGGCGCGTGTTGTTCGTCAAATGATATATTTTCCCCTCTTTGTAAGTGTCCCTGTCACCTTCGTTGATGGCGAGGTTGGTAGTGCTTGTGGCATCCCACTTAGGGGGGAACTCGTTCACCCCCGTAATCTCAATGTGAACAGTTGTGGTGCCGGTCAGTTGGAATCCCACGGGTGCCCCGTCTACCGCTATCACCACCAGGTCATATTTGCACTTCATCTCACAGTCAGAGGCTGCACAAATAACAACACAAATAAGAACTGCACCATTATACGAAAGTTATATTTGCTATGAACTTCAAAAATGTTGATGCTTTCAAACAAGGCCAAAAAATTGAACGGTGACCAATTCGAGTTTTTCTAAGCGCATCTAAAACCCTTAAGAATTTTTTTGGCTGATCAATTTTTTAGATTCATTTTTTGTAAGTTGACTACTCAGATTTTTTTCAGAGCGCAACTAAAACGCTAAAGACCCAATTGAGCGGAGCAAAAAATCTGCGCAACAAATTTTTTTAAAATAGAATTTCGTTTTGAGCATTTTTTGAATGGTTTTTACCAAAAAATCGCGTTTTATCGACGTTCACTCCCCCAAAACTTTTGTTTATTCGGGCCAGAGGTGCATTTAGAAAAATTCAATGTTGATCAATGAGTGTCGTAAGACAGTGCTACAGGGGGGACTTTTTAGAAACACTTTTTAGGGACTTCTTAAAAGAGGACACAAACAATCCCCCTCCCCCGCCGTCGGCCTGCTACTGGCGTACATACTCACAGTCGAGGTTGAAGACTACTCTTCGCTGATTTGGGTTGACAACTGTGGCCAGGGCGAACATGTTGCCGGTATTGTTGGACTGAATGTAGAAGGACAGGTCCGAATTTGGAGAGGCGTCTGAGTCAGAGGCCTCGATCGTACCAACTGCAGTTCCTGCAAATAAGACATGATTTTGAATTGATATTTACAAAATAAGTAAAGCGACCTACGGTCCTAGAAACAGAACACTCTTAGTGAAAACGAAGCATTATCATCCCCTGATTTTGGCTACAATGCGGTAACTTGTGAAAAAAAAAACGCAAAAAAACTACATTGAATTGCACAAAAAGAGCTTTCCTCAATAAAATAGTTCAGTCTGGAATGTGTGGAAATCAGAGAAACGAACTATGCTTAGACATGCTGGATAGCCTTCCACATATCTTCTGCGAATCGCAAAAACCACACCCGCACTGACAAACTTGAGATTAAAATCAATTTAAATTGATTTTTATACAGATGATATACTGTATACCAATCGATTTACGATAGCCCCTTTAGATACGTAAGCCAATTTAGAATGGATTAAAGGATTTTTAAGGTAGAAAAAAATCAAATTCATTGCATAAAATGAATTTAAATTCATTTCAATATATTTTTGCAAGGTAGTGAAAATCATCAAAATCTCAATAAAATTGAGAAAACATATCTTTTTTGTTGTTTCGAAACTTGAGCAAATTTTTCGACTCAAAAAAATCTCGAGAACAGCTGCAGAGAGCAAGACTCATTCGAGGAGAATTTTGAACCGCAAACTTTTGCGTTTAAGGGATTCCCTTTCAAATTGTGCAAAACTAAGGCTTCCCACGGTAATGAGAAGTACAACTATGCAAATTGTTTTCAAATGTCATTTTTTTATCAACGTTCTCGACTCAATATTTTAGGCAGAGACGATGTAATTAAAAACATCAAATGAAAAAATGATTTTTGTCGCAGAAAATTCAGACATTAGTTATCCTCAAAGCATATTTCCAGGCCAATCATCAAAAAAACTCAGTTGAAAAGCTTATGATGCTATTTTATTTCCACTAATTGTATATTGTTTGATAGTCTAGAGAATATAAACACAATGTGTATATAATCTGTATAAAATGAGTATAAAAAAGAAGTTAAAAATTGATTTAAATCCGTAGGAAATTTAAACTAAAAAACGTTTTTGTATAAAACTCAACCGCTTTTGAATCAATTCAAAATTTCTTTTCAAAAGCTCTGCTACAATAGCTTATTTCCAGGCCAACCATCATCAAAAAAACTCAATTGAAAAGCTTATGTTAGAATTTTAGTTCCACTAATTGAATTTGTTTGATAGTCTAGAGAATATAAGCACAATATGTATATAATATGTGTAAAATGAGTATAAAAAAGAAGTTAAAAATTGATTTAAATCAGTAGAAAATTGAAGCTAAAAAACGTTTTTGTTTTAAAGTTGACCGTTTTTAAATCAATTCAAATAGATTTTTCAAGGTCTCTGCTACATTATCTGTATAAAGTCGATTTCAAATATTATGTTTATGATTATTATTATTATGATTATTATTATGATTATTATGATTATTATTATTATGATTATTATTATTATTATTATTATTATTATTATTATTATTATGATCATTATGATACTATTGTGAAAAAAAAATCCATTAAACAGTTATTTCGTTTTCACTTGATCATGTGACAACTATAGTGTCAACTACGCCTTTTATGGTGGTTTGACAATGAGGGCACTGTATTTTAGGAAGATAGATAACAAACTGTGCCGTGCTAAGTTTTCCCGCAAAATCACCAATTCGGTAATTGTAAGATTAGATACCCTAAAAGCTATGATCAGTTTTCTAGCTCAGGTAATTGCGTTTTTGTCTTCTATTCTATCATCTATCAAATTTAGAACAAGTCTCAGCTCAGATCAATAAATAGGGCCAATTAATTCATCTGACATTTAACTTGGAAGTAAATATTTAGAATACAAATTTGAGCTATGAAAGTCAAATTGAAGTCCTAAAACTCAGTTCAGTCGGAAAACGACCTTTCAAATCATTTCAACAGCAAATAATTTCTAACTATCAAAATGCGTTTTCTAAACAATTCAGTAGCTGTACTATTTTTCGTGCAGTTGAGCATATGCCTAATTTATTCGGACTTAGAGTGTCCGCGCTTAAATTTTTCATCGTCACATTTGCCCGACAAACACAGTCATGATGGCCGTAACAAGATTCCAAGTGGTCTGATTTCGACCGTAATTAAGGGTCACCAGAGTCCTCACAGGCCTTTTTTCGTGCGCATCTTCTCCATGAGGAACTCGTTCAACTCTCTGGAGGAGTGTGGGGGAACGGCCATAGAAACCAGATGGATACTCACAGCCGCCATATGTGTCAACTCTTCGCCTGGTTAGTGTCTTCAGCTGTTATAACTAGTTATGTTTAAAAAACAACGTAATATGTGAACCTTTGAGGGAGTAACAACTCACAACAAAATACAACTCGTAAGAAAAGTCAATTCGCGAAGTTTAAGGAGAGCCAAAACTCGTAAAACTTTGAAGATTGTCCGTTTAAGGTCGCCCATGGGCGCGCTACAGCGTGCGTCGCCGCTTTGCGGCAATAACCGGCTCTTAACTTCGAATTAAGTACCACCCTCTGTTGGAAAGCTCGCAACTCGTTGTGCCTATGCATGTTGTGATCACTCAAGCTTATGTATTTTGGAAGATGAAGGTAACAAAGTGACAATGTTTTCAGTTGACAGAGTGTTTGTGCTCTCGGGAGATTTTTCGAACAGAGAGCATCAGGCAGAAATGCATTCAGTCGAGCAGGTCATCTGTCATCTAAGGTGAGGGTCAAATCAAATTGCATTAAGAAGTTTTCCTTGAGCCTAACACATTTACAACTCAATTTACTTTCTGTAATCCTCATAGAAATCATATGTCCAATTTCAGCTACAGACAAGGCTTTCCAGATAACAACTTGGCCCTTCTGAAATTGGAGACACCCCTGCCTTACGCCTACACAATACCCCTTTGCTACGGACGACAGCCAGACTGCGCTCTGCTTGGAGCAGCAGGCATGGGTCAGATATCAGTGGTATACCCCAACATGGAACCCGACTCTCTGCGAGAAATAAAACTCACAGAAACCAGAGGCCATATATTCAACAGGTGTAACGGGCCTTTTCGTTCCTGCTATATGCCCCAAGTTAAGCTATGTGCTCTGGATTTCTCCAATTTCTGTCAGTTTTGTCAACTAGTGATGCGTGCGTAGCGAGTAAACCATTATATGAAGGAAAAAAAATGCCGGTTGATGTGCAAGTAGCACGGAATATCCAGATCTTGGTAACCTCAGTATTAAAAGAATTGAAAATAAGGAAAAAAGACCCTATTAACATCCTACAAAACATTTTAGGGTGAGGAGCACTATGGAAATACTTTTATGCACCGCAAGCAAATCTTTTCGAAGAAACAGATCAAAAACAATAGTTTTGGATAGTTTTTATAATTTTTGTAGGTTTTTTTGCCACCAAATTGCGTTTTCCCCCCTTCAAACATAAGATGTTATGACACAGTCCCCTGGAAATCAACCCCTGACCACTCCAAGGTTCCCATTTGTCTTGCCAATAGACACTCTAAAGATTTTCTAAGGGCTCCTTAGAAAAACTTTTGGGTCGATTAGCAAAAAAAAAGGATTCTGTAAAATAGCACCGATCGGGGGAATTTTTTGGGTGGGCAGGGCAAATCCTCAAGCCCGCAAATCAACTTCAATACGGCGTTTCACAAAGATCAAACTATTTTTTCATTTTTTTAATTCTTTCCTTATTTCTTTTTCGACCACAGTAAATTATCAGTAGCTGTATCAAATATTTAACTTATTGCGATCTTTCGTCTTTGTCCTGACTTTCGAAGAAAAAACTGAACATTTATTCTTGGGTGGTGTTTTCTGCCGACAATTTTAAACTTTTTAACTGAAAGTTTTCGACAAAAACTTTTTTTTATTATCCCAAAGGTATTTTTGTTTTGAGCTCAAATTGAAAAAAAAAATTGCGATCCTTTTGTAAAGGTATAATGATTTGAAAACTGCCAATCTGTCATAAACAAATTGCGGTTTACTTCGTTCATAACGCGTAAACGCCAAAAACTGTATGCCAAAACCATATTTATGCCAAAATATGGTTTTGTACATCACGTGGCCCGGATTTGAACTTTTTTCATATTTTGGCATAAAAGTATCGTACTTATATAAAAGTATCGTACTTAAAAAAAAAAGAAAAAAATTTTGTCAAAAAAATGCTAATCATACAGTTTCCATATATGAAAATTGTATGACTAGTATGATCAAGTATTTTTGAAATTGCCCAAAACTTTTTTGTTTTTTTTTCCAACCCCAAATCGAATTTTTTACTAAAGCAAACATTTTGCAAAAACAATTTACGCTGGCAAAACTTATTTTTTGAGTGCATAATATAGTCCTGGATACACAAAATTCATTTTTTTGCCTTTCTCTGGTAAAATTGTTTCAAAAACGCTTAAAATTCCTATTTCTTTTATATGGCATGTTTATGTATGCCTTGATCAATGTATGATAGTTTAACAACTCAAACTTTATAAATAAATATCTTTGAAAAATTTAGAGAAATTAATTTTAACAAAATCAATTTAATTTTCGGTTTATGATAAAATGCTAGTCATACAATTTCCATATATGAAAAATCACTGATCGTAGATATTTCAAGCAATTTTCTGTACTTGAATGCAATTTTCTTGAATTGCATGAAAAGTGTATGACTAGCATTTTTACATATATGAAAACTGTACGATTAGCATTTTTAGTCAACCCGATAGCGTAGGAGGAGATGGTTTTCGAAGAAAAATCTCAATAACAAATAGAAACACTATTTCTTAGAATTTAAAAGGCAGAGGGATAAAACTACTCTGGATAAAATGTTTATGTGTGTTCAAGTAGAATTTCATGGTTATCTTGGTTAACCTAATTTACTTGTGCAGACTAGAGTTATTTTGCTTCAAATATTGGCTGCTATCACACTTATTTTATAGAAGCATAGAAGCGTAATAGAAGCGTTTTCACAATTTTCTTAAAAACCTTTACTAGGAATGAACATACAGAGAGACCAATAAGGGCTCCCTAGCAATTGTTTTGAGCAACAAAACTGACCGAACGCGCTTTTTTTCAAGTGCATATAAGCAAAAAGTAGTAGTTTGAATTTTGAAAAGTTTTAAAAAATCAATCAACAATCTCAAAAGATAAAAAAGCAAGCACTGGATTTTTTCCTGCAAAGAGTTTTTCAAGGTTAAGAACTAAGCAAATAAGAGCACAAAAATATTTTCAAAACCATCTCCCAATACACATACACTAAATAACGTATAGAATAATATATTTTGCATGTATCAACGTAATAAATATAGTAAATAGCTTGCCTCAATTCGCATTGGAAATTTTCTGAGCAGCACAGGATTAATTCGCCAATTACTCTTGATAGAATAAACATATTGCGCGTTATTTGTCCCAAACTGATCAAATTGGCAAATTTCAAACCCCACATTTCACAAAAAAAAAATTTCACAAGTGCAATATTTTTTTCAAAATTCAGCTCAAGGCATTGACACCTTTCTTGTTTTTATCAGTTTTTTCAAGTTTTATCAGTTTTCAACGTTTTATCAGTTTTTCAAGTTAACCTAACTCATTTAAAGCCAATCGCTCGTTAAATTTTCTACTCAAATTGCTTCTGAAAGTATGCCTGTTGAATTTTTTTTTGAAATCTTATTGTGGGGCATCTAACAGAAAATACTCACAGGTGTCCTCAAAACACCATCTGCACAAAAAGAACAACAGAAGATGCGAACTTATGCAAGGGGGACGAGGGAGCTCCCCTGTACAGTTTCCACGAAGAGGTCAGCAACCATCCCAAGTGTCTCTACGGGGTAGCTATCTCCTTCGGCAGAACCAAATATTCCAGGCTGATGTGTAATGGAGGAAGTTTCTTTGCCAGGGTACCCTTTTACTATGGCTGGATACGACAGACCATGCAGGACAATGCGTAATGTGCGCCACAGATGAAAAAATTACAAATTCGAAAACTCCATATCCGAAACTAATCAAGAAAAATATTTTGATTTTGCTCATAAAAAAAAAAAATTTTGCTCCGGACAATTCGGCCAAAGACAATTCAGCCGATTTGAAATTCAGACAATCCAGCCAAAAGTATGCAGACAATTCAGCCAGTAATAGTGGCCGCCGCAGTCGCCGATTTTTTTCTTCCGATTTTTTTTCTTCCTTTTCTATACAAAATTTAGAGCCGGTTATTGCCGCGACGCGCGCGTAGCGCGCCCACCGGCGACATTGAACCAAGAAATATCTCCAATTCCGATTTTTTTCTTCCGAATCTAGCGTTTTGTAAAACTGGCTGAATTGTCTCATGCTGAATTTTCTGCATACTTTTGGTTGAATTGTCTGAATTTCAAATTTGCTGAATTGTCTTTGGCCGAATTGTCTGTGCGCCTTTTGGTTATCTCTCAAGGCTGCGTCTGTTTCAACTTAATACACCTAAACTTTATTTATTTTTAAAAATTAAAGAAAAACCGTAGGCTAATTAGTATGTTAAAAATGACATTATAAGCCTGAAGTGAAATATACTATTATTTTAGTTTTTATGTAACATCGGAGCAAATTTTGTAGCCCAGATGTACCAGTCCTGGGATACATAGCCACTGCACTGTGAAATTAAAAAAAACTGGTAACGTCAGATGAATACTAAAAAGGATAGCAAGTAAGTAAACTCTACCTGCGGCTGAGTTCTCGGGTGCAGCGAATGTGTAGTAGGCGTTGTTTGTGAATCGGGGGGCGTGGTTGTTGATGTCTGTAATGAGTACTGTGATGGTGGCAGTGGGAATAGTTCCAAACACGCCTTGTCCGTCGTGCAGTCTGATCTCCATTATGTACCTGTAGAAAGGAGCAGACATAGTTAGATTAGTTGGTGAGACTTGTGACAGGGAAATAAAGTTTGCCAAGTAAACAATCTAAAATTTGTAAAATATCACTTAAAACTCAATAAGACAGCGGATTTTTGGCCTCAAAAGACACCCTTTCTCGATTCGTCCCGTTCACTTTATGTTTCCGTATTTAGAAAATTCTGAAAGTTGCCACCAACTTCAATCAATTAACTGAGATTGAAAATGAGACTCAGACGAAATTAATTTTTCCTCTAAGAGCGCGGACAGTTCGTGACAGTCTTTAATCAGGTTTTCTGGACATTAACAAACCAAAATAAACTATTAATCCGCTCACTTTTCGTATACAGTGTAGTCTAGGTCAGTATTGACCATGAGTTCCCCAGTGAGCTCTGAGATGATGAATGAGTCTGGATCGTTGGTGGGAGTGTTGGCTGCATTGTATGCCTTGATGACTGGACTGGTGTTGATCTCGTATGTAGTCGCACTCATTGTGTCCATCGTCTGAACTCCCTTCACAGTGTAGACTGAAACAAACAATTCTGTTTGAGCAAACAATTTTTTTAAAATAAAAATTTAACTATTTATAATTTAAATATTTTAAATTAATAAGAACTTCGCGTTTCAAAGGACCCTTTCATGAGCCCAATCATGAGTCACTAGAACGTTTATCCTTCGGTTTTTAACTTAAAATTTGTTGTTAAGAAACTTTTTCCCAAAACAGTTTTTATACAGCGACAGCCGACCAAAAAAATCTCGGTTACTGAAATTAGCAGCGTGCCGCGGAAGCAGAAGGTAGGGGTGGGGTGGGTTTGGGCTAACGTTCTCTTGCTACCTTAGTTCTGTTTGCTACGAAGGGTACTATTTTTCGACATCCATTTATGGCCGACCAATTCGAGAATTTTCCTCCTGCGCGCACCACTGACTGAATGTAAAGGACTTCGAATGGTCTAAGATATTGGAACCTGATCTAAACTACATTTTATGATTGGATAAATTAGATATTTTACCACTGTAAAGTATTTAATATTAACCAATCATGATCCATCTAACTAACAACCCACTTATTTGTAAGTGCTGAAATTACTTGTAATTTCAGCACCAGATAGATTTGAATTTAACTTAGAAATTAGTTGCCTCTCCAAGAGAACTTCAGCAGCCGCAATAAACCAGTATACCCTAGATCTATTGAGCCTAGCAGAGACTAGTTAAACAACCTGAGACTAGATAGTATAAGAGTAAGATTAGGATCGGTATTAGACTAACAAATTGCACGAATCTATCCGGCCGAAAATAAGATAGCGTGACGAGCAGACGGTGTACCCTATCCGAAATTACTCTATGAGTTAATCACAGCGGTTATAACTCATCTGGTGCGACCATAAGTCTCGAACAAGACCTTAATAGCTTAGAATTAATCAAAATAGATTAGAAATTAGACAAAACATTTTCAAAATGTTATACGACAATAATTTAATCGAAGTGTCTCTACGACTCAATAGATCAGAGCCAATATTCCGAACGATAATAGAACTACCCGGAATTGGAAGAAAACCTCGAACCAGAGACGACATACGACAAAGCAGAAACTTACCAAATAGTTATATGATAGTACGGCAAAAGCCAACACAAACTTTTATATTTAGAATCTTATTAGCAATGAATTTAGATTTTCATTTGCAAACATAAAATCTTGAAGTCAATCTTCATGATCATTTCAGGCGCTAAACAAAATTATTAATATACAATAACGATTGATAAAAAGATCTCAGATCGTTTTCCTAAATTCTGCAGTATTATATAAAAAACATGTTTGGAAAATTTTTATTGAAAAACAAAACAAAAATTAGTAGCATGACAATAAATTGTTAGTAATCATAAAAACATTTGTAGTCCCAGCTTCATCACCTAAACATAACAGCAATCATAAGCTCACTTATATCATTAAAAAAACTAAAATTTTTAAAAAATTTAAACCATTTTAAACTTAAATTCACTTAATTTTAAAATCAGATCATCAAGGCTTATCCTTGGATCTAAATTAATTTTTCTATTTCATTAAATTTAAAACTTGATCATCAAGGCCTATCCTTGGATCAAAAAGAACAATTTTGTTCTCCCCCACCCACTTAGCTAGTGTCTAACGACCTCAAACGTCGATTCACTATCCAACCCTTTCAAAAAAAACCCAAGACTAATAGAAATTTTTGAACAAAACTAATCATTCAAATTAGGATAAACAGTGAAGAACTTCGGTTATTCATCCTTCACTTGAACCCCCCTCTTACCAGACCCAGGATAAATCTTAGACTTAGTAAGTTTAAAATAGTATCTAACGAACTACTCGCGTTCTAATTATACCTGAACCTTGTGGATCGATTTACTCTTCTCCAACCCTTGAACACAATCACTACCCCTAAGTAAGATTAAGTAAGTTAACACCTTAGCTTATAATAGCCACGAGAAAGTAAAAAATCATTCTTCGGAATCGATATACTTTTCTCTCCAACCCTAAATAAATAGACCCAGGTTAAGCTAACCAAAAAATCGTAAGGACTAACAGTTTAAGAAAATAGAAATCATCTAACAACTTTTTGCATCCGTCATCCTAAACCTTATGTCATTTAAAAATCTAGGAAACAAACAAACAATCGTTTTGCACAACTGTGAAATAGATAACAAAAAATACGACCTTGTAATCACACCTCACACACAAACAGTTGGATATATCAGAACAAAACGACAAACACTAAAAAGGAAAATAATAACCAAACAAAGACAAATAACACGAAAAAGATTTTCCAAAAATAGAAACGCATTCTCAGAATCAGAAGCCAGCAACTTAGACGAACTTTATAAATTAAAAGAATCCATTGATAAAAATTGCCCCATTCACGATCAATTATATTTTTCCGACTCAGAAACAACATCAAATTCATCAAAAAGAGTAAAAAGAAGAATAAAAAAACAATATAAACACAAACCAGTACACTTATATAATTGGAATCAACCAATTAGACACATCGATAATTACCTATTAACAGTCATTAAACAAAAAAATGAGCCAAACACACACTCCAAGTGAAGATAGTCCAGATGATGACGATATCTACCCCTTCCTCGTAGATGCACCCGATAATAGAGGACTACATGATCTTTGTAAGAATTTTCTTCTAAATTTGTTTGAACCCAGAATCAGCCCATGTAAAGCATGAGTTCCCAGATGTAAAAATAAAAAGACAGATTATAGATCACTATCTGAAGATATATGTAACTTAACACAACAATACGGAATCTACACCATAGAATTCAGCTCACCAAACCCGAATCACCGCAAATATATAACTCAAACAGACGATCTGGATTTAGAATTTTCAAAAGTATTCTCAGAATATATAAAAAGCATACAATATCATAACTCACAAAGAGCAAACTCCATATTTACTAATGAAGTTTTTGCAATAATATACAGTCATATTTCAATATTAGAAAACGAAAACCCAATCCCACATGTCTCACCGACAGAGACATCCAAACATATAAAGGTACGACATGAAATCACACTATTTTCAACTTTTCTACATATAATTAAAGAAAATTTCAATAGATTATTTCACACATAATATAGATTTAATTTCACAAGCAAGAAAAAATTTCAGACCTCAAAATTCAAACGATGATACTGCCATCACAGAACAGTCAGACTACGTTTGGGACCACGAATGGTCTCATTATGCATTCATAAATATCCCACAATCAATCTCAAGTCAAGCAATAAGTACAATATCTTATGTAAGAGATTATGTAAGAGTAATACCATTAACCATTGATGGAACACCATTAAACTACAATACATTTTTACCTGATACGCTAAATAACAGTTTAAATTCGACCGTCATACACAACGAGAACCTTAATGGAACTAGGAACCTCACTCAACAAGATATTCAAACACCATCACACTTCATAAATGAAGAAATCGTCCAAACAACAACAACTACACAACAAAGTATTTCACCAATACGTTCAAATTTAACAACACCAAGAAATACAAACACTTCACTAGCACAAGTAACCTTACAATCAATGTTAAACCTTCGGTTGCTCCAAAATATTCACAAATGGATTATCAAACATATAGACCCATGACAGTACCGTCAAAAACACGCAGAACGTTCACAAGAAACACTTTTGCGGAACACAATTATAATTACGCACATTCATCAAAAACAAACTATCCCCCACGAAAAAATGATAATAATCAGATAAGATCTCGATATTGGGATAACCCAATGGCAACAACCAACTCAGTAAATTTTCAAACTAATTCACATCCTCCACAGGATCGTAGTGAAAATTACCCATTCTTTCAACAGAATAAAAATAAAAAGCAAGCACCTCATCAAACGGATTATTTATCCTCTGACGATGATTATTTACAACCAGATATATTTGCACCATATACTCAAGAATATCGTGGACAAGGAGTGCAGAAACCACATACATATCATATAATTTTTTATCCACATCCAACAGATACACAAAATCAACAACCAATACAAATGCAAAACCCAATTAATACACAATCTTTTCAACCAATTCAGCCACAAAACCTAATGATTACACACTCGTATCAACCAACACAAATGCAAAATGAAATACCACTCCCATATTACCTTCAACAACACGAAATAACAAAAAATCAACTCTCAAATTTTTCACAAATGCCAAATGCCGCAGAATCATTACAAATGACAATGAATCCATACCTTATGGGTGGATCATCAATAACATCAAATAAACCTTTAATGGTATTCACAGGAACAGACCCTGAATATTCTGTAGAAGATTATTTAAATGCAGTAACAGCAAACTTAATTTTAAATATAGGACCTGAACCAATTAATACGCCACTACATCAAAATTGGATACATCGACGCACAGCGTTGATACAAACAACCTTAGATGGCGCAGCCCAAAAATGGTTTTCAGTATTGCCTATAGAAATAAAATCAAATTGGAAAAGATTTACACAAGAATTTTCAAAAATGTTTGACTCCGAGAGAAATAAACAACAACAAAGAGTTTTATGTAATGAAATTCGCAGATTACCAAATGAAACCATCAAACAATTAGCAGTACGTATCGAAACACTAGTTCGAAAAGCATATTCATTAAGTACGCACGACTATAAAAACACAAAAATGACAGAAATCTTAATGATGACCTTAACACCTCAATTAAGGAAAATAGCAATAAAAAAGAGAGCATCCCATCCCTCCTCAATTCGAGAGCCCGATCTAGATTTTCGAAAACTAGTAGACAAACTAGAACAAGCTGAAATCACAATGAAACTTGAAGAAACAGAAAATCTGAAGTTACAATATGTTAATCGAATTGAAACAAATACCACAAATATCAACAATATACAGGAATCAGATACAGACCTCGTTGAAAAAATCACTGAAATACTCAATATTTATGAAAAACACCCAAACTTTAAAGGCAAACCATCTTTCAAAAAATG